TACAGCACGGATACCGCGCACTAACTGATGAGATGCTAAATGCCACATACACAGATCTCTGCTAATGATTCTCCAGTATCTTTAGGATGCTAATTGCCTGGTTTCCTAGCGTGGCTGTAAACCGTCAAGGCATCCAGCGTGCATTTTACCCCTTCGCCGTAGCAAACGGGCGTCTGAATTCTACGCCCGGGGAGGAGAGCAGTGCCGCGTCCTTTTCTCAAGAAGGAGCTTAAAACCTACTCGGTGCTTACTCAGGAGTGAAAACATCAAATTAAAGGGTTTATGCTGACAAAGGACAAAATGTAGATTTCAGCCAACGAGGCAGGATTGTCTGATTGCGGGCTGCCTCGCAAAGCTCCCGGCCACGGCGCCGTAATGAAATGCATGCATAAAATTACGGCGCGCGGAAGTCTGGATTCGGAGGCCTCGGGAAGCAGCAAGAACATCTCCAGTGGCTCAGCCTGGTCTCTGGGCACCGGAGTCGTTTCATATTCATAAATCTCCTCTTCCTCCGTCGACCATGGCTGTCTGCCACGCAGCCGGGGCCACCAGGAGACCCGGCTTCTCATTCAGCAACTGGAGTGAAAAATGATACCGATCAATGGGTCTGCAGAGAGCACGGGATTTGAGCCGAAAATTGAATAACAATGAGGCCGGGTGAAGAAGTGCCTTGTCAGGGGCTGCCGACACTGATGGATTAGACAAATCTGAGCACGTTACTCTTTCCACATGGCTGCGATCCCCAGCGCACGGCCAGCGGGCGCTGCCGCAAACAGGTCCTGGGGAGCTGAGGGCAGGGGCTTCTGTTGGGGGGGACACGAGGAAGTTCAGTTCTCTGAGTGGTTCTCCTTCAAAAATGAGATTTCCCCTCCCCCCCCAAGAAGCAGTGGAGATTTCAGGAGGGGTTTAATGGAGGAGAGTGGAAGGATCCAAGGAACATTCTAATAATAATAATAATAATAATAATAATAATAATATAATAATAATAATAATAATAATAATAATAATAATAATAATAATAATAATAATAATAATAATAATAATAAAGTTGGAAGGGACCTTGGAGGTCTTCTAGTCCAGCCCCCTGCTCAGGCAGGAAACCCTATACCATTTCAGACAAATGGCTGTCCAGTCTCTTCTTAAAAACTTCCAGTATTGGAGCATTCACCGCTTCTGGGGGCAGGTTGTTCCACTGATTAATTGGTCTCACTGCCAGGAAATTTCTCCTTAGTTCTAGGTTGCTTTTCTGCTTGGTTAGTTTCCATCCGTTGCTTCGTCCTGCCTTCAGGAGCTTTGGAGAATAGCTTGACTCCCTCTTCTTTGGGGCAGCCCCTGAGATATTGGAAGACTGTTATCATGTCCCCCCTGATCCTTCTC